TTTATTTCTGGGAAGCCAGGCCTCCCGGGAGTCTCAGAGTCTCTCATTCAGAGCTACCTGTTTACAGCTCAGCGACCAGAAGGACCTAAACAATCCTATATTGTACACCCAGTGCTTCCTTAAACTTAGGCTTCCACAAAGGCATGTTTTCAGAAGCTGGGCAGAATAAGTTAAAGGCTGGCTTTATACTCATTAAGTGTTCTGCTTGTACTGTCTTCTAATTACATGGCAGGGCAACAATGTCTTTTTTTTGTCAATGGAGTGCTTTGGAGCAGTTAATTTGGTGCCTGTACTAAATGCCCCCAAACAGTAATTAGTGTGGAAGGAACCCTAATTTCCTCGGCAGCTTTCCTCTCCATTTACTTCCCTTGTTTTCACATAGGCTTGGATGAGCCTCTATAATGAAATTACCTCATTAATGCCTTTATTCTTTCAGAGTAACTCATTCAAGATCTACCATTTAGTTTTAATTTAATGCTGTCAAAAGCAAAAGGTGCATTCATGTCTTTGATTAGTGCATTTTTTTCTTCTCTAAAGAGTGGACAGATTTAAATTATTAAGATGGCAAGTAGTGAGTTATAATTGGATACAAGCAGCACTTCAGTGAATATTAAATGCTTTCAAAGCCTGGCCTATCTGCTCTGCTGACTATTAACTGTGTCCAGTGAGTTCTTCTATGAGGTTTGAATTAACAGCACATTAACTACTGGAAGCAAATGAAGTTTAATTTTGTTTATAAAAAACGGTGCAGTTGCATTTACCGATGTGACATTTCCTTGCAGTGGAGCTCAATTTGCCCCATTATCCTACCCTGACCTCGTTGCATGGTTAGTCCTGCTCAAACGGGGGCTCATCCTGGGCTCAGGCTTGCAAAGTCTGTCTGGAGACCTACCTGGGTATGGCTGGGAGGATAAGACCTGGGAAATTCTAAATATCGTCACCTTAGCTGCATTTAACCACCTCGATAATTTGCTTACAGGGTAGAGGGGCACAAAGTGCATTTATGATTAATGGGGAATGCATGGGCACAGACCGAACAGGGAGGATTTAACACAGGATCATCGATCTCTAATTGCTTCTCTCTTCCCTCCTTTCGGTCACAACTGATGCTACCGACTACCCGAGATGCATTGGAGAAACACGGATGGCAGAAGACTTCTGCAACCTGCTTGGCACGTGCAGTTTAGGACTAATTAATTAGAGTTTATTGGCTGGCTGAAGTGCTCCCAGGGGTCTAAGATCAGTCACATACTTGGGCCAGGACCTCTGCAGAGCCCCATGCTCCCAGGGCCTTTCAGTTTGGAACATCTCTGAGGATGGAGATCCCCCAGTCTCTCTGGACTCCCATTCCAAGGGTTTCCCGGCTCCAGAGTGATGTTTTCCTCAGTAATTGGCAGGGAATTATTATATATTCAATATTATTATATAGTCAATATTATTATATATTCAGCATTATTATATATTCAATGCAAGCATCAGCTGCAATAGGATGACTTGAACTGATAATATTTTATAAATAACATCTATTATTTATTATAATTTTATAATTATATGATAACATAATTATTACTATTATAATGTATTATGCTTATTATAAATATTGGATATATTTAGTGCGTGTTACATAGGATCCACGCACGCTATATTACACACCCGTTACGACTGCAATCGCAAGGCACGCCCAGAGAAATGTCGTTTATCTTTAGAATCTTTCCCATCAGTGCTGTAGAAGCATTCTGGGTTTGGATTAATTCCTCCCGGCGCTAGGGGGAGAAAACATTTGTATTTATTTGTTCCCCGGCAGAGCGAGGTCAGGGGAATTTTGAAGGGTTTTCTGAATGTGTGGCTTTCCCTGTGAACTGTGTCTCACTGCCCTCTCCTGGCTGGATTATCCATGGACACCCCACTGTCATCTTCCTTAGGTTCTTGCATTTATGTTCTGGTCAGCGTCATCTCTTTGAATTCCCACCCCTTTTGGCACAACCGAACACCACGACTCCATCGTCCTGAAGGAACCTTGGCATTGTCCTCTTCATCTTGGCCCTTTTCCAGCAGACATGGGTAGGACCGTGCTGTCAGAAATGTCATCCCCCGGGCACTCGTCCTCTTCCAGGGAGAGGAAAAGTGTTCCCGGACCCACATCTCCCACCTCGTTCAGCCTGGGGTCCGTCCAGCACTCGAGAGAGCTGCTGGGAGTTGAAATTCTCCCCGTTCCCCTGCCTGGGAAATCCTGCTCCCAGCTCCTGTCTCCTCACCTCCTGGAAAAAGAGGAGCTGCATCCCACTGGGCGTTGCCGGTTCTGTGTGGTGTCCCGCCCTTCGGGCGGTGGGATGGCTCGAGCAGCTCCGGAGACTGTATTTTCCTTGCCCATTTTCTGTTTTCCTGCATTTCCCCGGACAGGGGGGAAGGCGGGGGCCAAGGAGCCCCGTCCGGCACCGTGCGGCACTAGGGGGTCCTCGCGGGAGCGGGGCGGCTTGACCGCAGCGGAGCCCACGTGGCTTTGCTCGCCCCCGGTGCCACCGACCCCGCCACCCGAATTGTAAGGAAAAAATAAGAAAGAAAGGGTAAGAGTAGATAGCGGAGAGGAAATTGCCACCCGTGGATCCAGAGGTAAGATTTGATTGTTGCAGATTAGATATTCATCGGTGGAATTAATGATCGCAGTTTCGATCCATTAGGGTTGGGGCGAGCCTGGGAAACATAGAGTTCAGTGGGTTAATAGCCATTTAAATTCAGGTGGGAATGCCCAGGTACCTTCACCGGGAGGGAGTTTTACCCTGTCCGATGCAGCGCTGGTTCACGTACGGTCCTCTGGTGGGAGGCCCCAGAAATGAGTCTGGGGGCACTTTGGGGCTCCGATGGTTTGACACCTTCTTAGACATGGCGGGTGCCTCTTAGAGATGGCACAGTCGAGTCAGTGCTGCCTTATCAGCACGCTTAAGATTAAGGCATTTAATTTTTACGCCTTTATTTTTAGGCCGGTGTTCCAAGCATCGCCATCGGAGCTCGGGAAGGTACCGCCCAATTGTCGGCGTCAGATCTGAACTTCCTTCACGCGTTAGTGAAATTTCTTTGTGGTATTAACCGTTGTGGAACAAATCGACACAGTCCACAGGCAATGAGCGATTAAAATATGAGAAAAACTGTTTGTAACGGGATTTCAAGACACTTGTTAGAAACACATATTACTTGTAATGTATTATATTCATTGTCTTTTTTCTTCTTCCAGTTACAGTTCTGATGAGCGACCGTAGGGAAATCGGTGTCGTCGATGCACTCTCAGCAGTGCCGTATGTTTTTACAACTGTCCGGAGACTCGCCGCCGGGAGAGGATAGAGGTGGCTGCTGCCCACCAGCCTGGGGATCTGCTTTGGTTCCTGTCTTGTGCCAGGGAAAGGAGGTTTTCAGTTGACAGCGATTAGATTCCAGCAGCCTTGTCTGCCGTCCTTGGCTGCCTTGTCCAGCAGCCGATCCACTCTCCTGTCCCTCCTGCTCCGAGCTCCCGCCCGCCTGGCGCCGACTGTGCAGAGGAGAATTTGTCCTGCCGGCAGCAGCGGGAGGACACCAGCACTCATGGCCTGGCACTTGGATTGTCCCTTTGGGGGATGCTGCTTGCTGGGATTTTGATAATTCCATACGTTTGGCTGCTGAAATTTCCCAGCGCAGGGGCTTTAGCTGACAGGGCAGCACAAAGGTTGTTCTCCATGTGGTGCCCAGGTTTGGGTTTCAGGATCAGCTTTGCTAGTTTAGATGAATTATACCCATGGCCCAAATTCCCTGCAGAATTCCTGCTGGAATAACCTCACAGTGCCTCACAGAGCACGGATATGTCCATGCAAAGCTGTCGCTTTAATGCCAGCCACGTTAGGAACCAACAGAGGTTCCAAGGAAACTCATCAGGACTGGAATGAGGACAGGTTTCTATTCCACAGAATTTGCTATTTCTAACCCTCATTGCCTCAGCCCCGCCGACGTCTCTGGGGGCCATGGGACAGAGTTCCCTGGAATTCAGCTGATTTCACCCACCCTGAGCTCGGGCTCCAGTTGATATTTTAAATCAGGAGAAGGCGGTGGCCACGCGCGCTCCCAGCCTGTGCCGAGGCAGCCCCTGTGCCCAGGTGAGGACATCCCTCCCTGCAGAAGCTGATTTCAGTGCAGAGCCTTAGGAATGGCCTCTGGAAATTCTTTTCCCTGAGGAAAGGGATGGGCACCCCTGCCTTCAGTGCACCTCCAGCCTCATCCACCTCTGAATGCTTTGCTTCGGTTCTGTAGTTCCAGCTGGCTCCCCCAAAAATTCCAAACTTTATCCAAACAAAACGTCACCCAACTCTAACGTTTCATTTGAAGGCATCTCTGAGGACTGTAGCTTACGATTTAATTTCTGTGAGGAAAGATTGCCTTGCCTTTGACAATGCTGTTGGGTGATGTTCTCGGGCTGGAAGGAAAGGGATTGGGGGTGGGCGGGACACACCTGGTGGAGGTGTGGGAGGTCCAGGAGGTCAGCACCGGGAATCGCTGTCTGAGCCCCTCCGCAAACACAACGTGCTGGCATTGCTGGGTGCTGGCTGTTGCCTGGGATATTTTTGGAGTGTTGGTGGGCTCTCTCTGGGGTGAGGCATCTCCAGCTTCCTGTTTAGAGCAGCCCATGGCTGCGGAGCCACGAGCAGACCTTAATCCATGTCCATCTGAGTGCTGCCCGGGCATCCCTGTGCCCAKCCCCGGGATGTGCGTTTTGCACGCTGGATGCCACGAGCAGGACATGGCAGGCACAGCTCCTCCCCTGGAAATAGGAAGGACAAGAGGTGCTGGTCCCCCTTCTGTGGCTCTCGACCTCCTCCCACCCTGTGCTCCCAGTCAGCTGGGATGCACGGTGGAAATGGCAAGGAACATTCCCGGCAGCTGAGTGGGAGTCACTGAGGGCTCCATCYGGCTGTGGGCCCGAAAAGCAGGATATTTATGCCCTGTGGCCTCCGCATCATCACTGCGCCCATCGTGCATGCGATAAGGGCAAAGTCCATCTGCTGGGGTGGAGAAACAGCCTTGGTCCCTCTTGTGGGGTGGGCTGAGGGACCCGTGGGGCCAGGCAGGGCTGCAGTCCCTGTACTCTCTTGGGGACCGAGAGGTTTGGGTGGCAAGATGGAAGACCCCTTTGGGCCAGAAGAGACCCTGAAGCAGGAATCCAGATGCTCAGAATGGATAATCAGTGGTTCTGATGACATGAATGACCTTTGCCTCCCGTGGATTACTCTATGTGCTTGGGAGCTGGGGTTTCTGCAGGCCACAGGTCCTTCTGTTACACGGTGCCCATCTCTGGGCTTGGAGAGACCTGTGGGTGGCTGAAGGGAAGGGATGCTCATTCCTGCCTTTGCTGTACGTGTCTACAGTGTCTTCTCCCCTCTCCCCTGCAGGAGCCTGAGGACGGTCACATGCAGTGGCAAAGCACTTCTTCCTGAGGAGAGAAGCAGCAGCAGCTGGTGGGAGCTTGCAGAGGGGCTGTAGGGGGGGAAGCAGGGGCTGACAAGCTGTCCCTGCTAATCTGGTGACAGTTGCCAGGTGCTCCCTGAGTAGGAGAATGCAGACTCAGGTGTGTAAAGGAATAGTTTGGTATCTTAAATAAACTGTTTATATATAGACCGTCAAACCCAGTTCTGAAGGATCTGTGTCTACTTTATCGGTGGTGTTGCACCCTCTTGCCTGGGCTCCCAGTAACACCCTTGCTGTGTGCTGCTGGTGTAACTGGTGCCAAGGAGCTGGGCTTGGTCCTCTCCRGYTCTGGGGTAACTAGAGCCCAGTGCTAGGGAGTTATAAAAGCAAGGATGCGCATGCTAGCCCCACGCCCCACAGTCACTTTTCCAGCTGCACAGCGCTTTCTGTTCCAGCCCTGTTTTTTGTCTGAGATCCTGCTCCCGAGTGTTTGTTTCAGCCCCGAGCCTGTCCCAGAGGCTTTATGCCAGCTGCTGTCCCCCACCAATGACTGCAGCTCGTGCTGCCCATACTAAGCACCCCAGAGTCTTCATTTCAGATGGAGCTCTGTGCTGCTTTGCCTGCGGCTCTGCTGTCCCAATTCCAGCCTCAGGCCTGAGATGTTTGTTTTGCCTCCAGCTCTGCCTTGTCTCATCTCCACAGCCACAATTTTTGTTTGGCCTCCAGCCCCGGGGTCTGTATTTCAGGCAAGCCAGGGGATTTTATTTCAGCTCCCCAGTCAG